CGGTACACCACGATTCCACGAACCTTGTCATACAGATAATATTCCACTAACTCTTCGTCTCTTGGATGAAACTTGTAACCCACGGGAAAGTTATTAGAAGGTGCCATGCATAAGGTAGGTATAACTAGGTTTTCCTTGGACGTTCTTGACAAGATGAAATATATTTCTCGGGAGGGCTGCTGAGAGAGATGGCACGTACGTAGTAGGGTTTATTATATTATGGAGGAGAAGAAAGTTTGTTTGGGGGTTTAAAGGGATTCCTTGGATCGCAGCGAAGTGGGTTTATGTGAGCGAGTTGCTTGGTTGCCCTCCAATATAAATAGATGCATATTAGGGCACCGCCTCTCAATCATTTCCATGTAATTAGCATGCAATTTGATTCCGAGTAAACTTCTATATACATTAGGGTTTCAATTATATATAAGAAATCTGTTTATTAGATTTGGAAAACTCAAGACTACTGATAATTTTGTGGATAATATATACTTGCATTCCCCCTTTAAACGGATGACCTTATTTGCTCCCGTAAAAATAATGTATTAACGTACAAATTTTATAATCGAAACCGTTTAATTTCTTAATTTTTATTTGAAGATCACCCCTACCAAAAATCATTTGAATCGGAGATCATTGAATTGAATCATTCGAATGTCTTGAACAAATAAATGATGTAAGTACCAAGTAACATATTCATGAAGAACTATTCATTTATTTGATATGTTTGGATGATTAAACAATTTCCGATTTGGATGAATTTTTGTATGAATAATTTTCAAATAATAATTAAAAAAATGAGTGATTCCGATCTTTGAGTTTATATGTTCAAGATACTTTATTCGCAATTTCGCAACTGGGGGAAATAATATGTGCATCGCCTCATGGTGTGATGCAAGTGTCCTAATTCAGCTAATGTAACCCCAAAAAAAGTTTAAATAAATAAAACACCCACCTCATTTTTATTTTTTGGAAATTAACACCCGGCAAATCTATTGTTTGACTGAAAAATAAATAAATAATACCCCACCCATGCTATAACCCTCTATTTGGATAAGAAAACTAAATTGAAAATTTGGACAAAGACAATTTTTTTTTTGGATTCATAAACACATAAATTTAAAATCGTCGTGTGAAACAAAAACTTGAAATTTGGACAAAATCAATTTCCTTTTTTAGATTTGTAAACACAGAAATTTAAAATTACCGTGTGGAGCAAAAACTTTAAGGCCTATTTGGTAGTCTACTTGAATCTAACTTTTTAAACTCAAAAACAATTTTCAAGTTTTAGGCCTTAAAAACTTGTTTAGTATGACTATTTTCAAAAACTGAATTCAAAACTAACTAAAAAATATAGTCTATTTTCTAAAAACACAAAAAATGAGTTTTTAGAGTTTTTAAACTTAAATTCACTGGAAATTTTATTTAAACTCATGTAACCTTTTTCTACACCAAACTTAAATTTTAAATGTTAATTGTCTATTTTACCCTATTGCATAATCACTATTAAGTACAAAATGAAATTAATAATAAAACTCAAATTTCTCTATAAACCAAGACACTATGATTAAACCCTAGCATTACCCTTTGTTTATCCTACGTCCATTCCAGCTAAAACTCTAATAGTTCTGATAGAGAAAAACAAGCTTTTTTATTGATGGATAGTGATTTTGAAGTTTTGAATCCTACAACTAAGATATGACTCGATTTATGGATATTTTGTTTGTTTGCTTCTTCTTTGGATTAAATTTCATACTTATTATATTATATTGTATTTGTTTTTCTTTGTCGTCTGTTTGCCCCCAAAACACCATTGCATGGACTTTTGATTAGTAGTGCAAGGACATATACTTGATTCTTGGTGCAAATATCGTTTGCCCAACCTCAAAAACCTTGACCACTCACTAGCGGGTGGCATGTCTCCATCCAAACCAAAGCATCAAGGTCAAATGTTTTTCTGGCAAAGTGATGGATTGAACTGGAGCTTGCATCGCATTCTCTGGCAAATTCAAATCTATGGAAGAATCTCTTGGATCTTAAGCCTATGGATGGGTTTGGAAGCAGAAGAAAAAAAATCCATGGAAATGCTAGTCATATGCAATTATACAGGGGCAATGGACGCCTCTTTGAAGAAAAAACATTCAGTTAGACCATCTCCAACCCTAACCTAAAACCTAAAAATATTTAGCCCATAAAATTTAGGTTTTAGCCTAGAAACAGCTTTTCTGCTCCAACCCTTCTGACCTAAAATTTTAGCCCCAGATTTATTAAAGAATGAATTTAGGCTATTTTTTTAAATTAACTTTTTAAAAAAAATATGTAGACTATCCTAAATTAATTTTATGAACATTTTAACCTAAAAATATTTAAATTCTGATAAATTTTGAAAAATCACTAAATCAATACATGAAAATCATGATAAACCACATAAACTTAATACAAATGATATTTAATAAACCACATAAACTTAATACAAATGGTAGAAAGAAAAATTGGAAGAATTGTAGGAGAAAAGTGAGTTTTGTGTGGATGTTTGAATAAATACATAGGTATTTATAGAGTTTTTGGGTGAATTTTGAGTTAAATAATTTTTTAAAATTATTTTAGCTGTTGGATTTAAATTTGGACCGTTAGACTTGATTATATTCGATCTAAGCCGTTGGATTCAATAAATATATAAATATAAAACTAAAAAAAATATAATTTGAACCTGGACCGTTGGATTAACCAACGGCCCATTTAAATCCAGTTGTTGGATAAAAAAAAAGTAGCTGTTGGGCTACATAAATGGCTGACACTCGGGGGGACAACCCCACGTGGGTGGGCTCGGCTGGCAGGGATGCCTAGCGTTTGCATCGCGTGGGCGACTGGGTTTTAGGGTGTGGTCTTCATAGCCCGGGTTTCAATCTCACCTTGTGGGGTCCACTCCAATTTGTGGCCTAAACTTGGGTCGATATTTGGCCCCAGGATGAATTTTAGGCCATGGGTTGGGTGAGTTTTGGGGGAGGAAGGGGAAATTTAGGTTTTAGGTCAGGGTTGGAGTGAGCCTTAGAGATGTTATTTTATAAAGGGAATGAGTGTAAAGATAACTTTACATTTTGAATTGGATTTGAGAGGGTAGTTTAGGTAATAAATTTGGGTTTAAAGAGATATTAATTCTTTAATTAAAAAAAATATGGGTGAAGGGTGTAAGTTGAGTGTAGAAAGATGTAAGATGAGTTCAAATAAAATTTCTATAAACTCACTCATTTATTTTCTCTCCCTCCTCCTCCCATCTCACTCCAAAATCTATCTCTATCTCTTTTCTTCTTTCTCTCCCCTCCTTTTTTTTGGGGTAAAAGACTGTTTACTACCCTCATGTTTCGTGGTTTTCAACATTTAGTACATCAAGTTTTTTTCGTCTCAGATTCATACCTAAAGTGTAAATTTTGGGACAATCTCATACATCCATTAGTCAAACTGTTAACTCTCCCGTAAACTGTGACGTGGCGCCCATGTGGACACTGACTGGGCGCCACGTGTCATCCACGTTTTTTTTTCTTCTTTCTTCTTCCTCCGACTGCAACTTTTTTTTTCCTCCTCCTTCTTCCTTCCTCCTTCTTCCCCTTCTTCCTTCTTCTTCCTTCTCCTTCTCCTTCTCCTTCTTCTTCCTCCGAATCTGGGGAATTTTTTTTTTCTTCCTCTTCTTTTTCTTCTTCTTTTTCTTCCTCCGAATCTGCCCAGATTCAGTTTTTTTTTATTTTTTATTTTTCTTCCTTCTTCCTCCTCCGATTGCAACTTTTTTTCTTTCTTCCTCCTTCTTCTCCTTCTTCCTTCCTTCTTCTTCCTTCCCCTTCTTCTCCTTCTTCTTCTTCATCTTCCCCAGATTCGGAGGAAGAAGAAGAAGAAGAAGGAAGAAGGGGAAGGAAGAAGGAGAAGAAGGAGGAAGAAAAAAAAAAGTTGCAATCGGAGGAGGAAGAAGAAGAAAAAAAAACTTAATCTGGGCAGATTCGGAGGAAGAAGAAGAAGAAAAAGAGGAATGAAGAAGGAGGAAGGAGAAGGAAGAAGGAGAAAAAAAAAAAAAAAAAAAACTTCCCCAGATTCGGAGGAAGAAGAAGAAGAAGGAGAAGGAGAAGGAAGAAGAAGGAAGAAGGGGAAGAAGGGGAGGGAAGGAGGAAGGAAGAAGGAGAAGGAGGAAGAAAAAAAAAAGTTGTAGTCGGAGGAAGAAGAAGGAAAAAAAAAACGTGGATGACACGTGATGCCAAGTCAGTGTCCACATGAGCGCCACGTCACAGTTAACAAGAGACTGAACAATTTGACTAACGGATGTATGAGATTATCCTAAAATTTACACTTTATGTATGAATCTGAGACGAAAAAAACTTGATGTACTAAATGTTGAAAACCACGAAATATGATGGTAGTAAATAGTCTTTTACCTTTTTTTTTACCTTTTTCGTCTCTCCTCCAATCCGCTCTCTTCATTCTCTCGGTTCTTTCTCTCACCCCTCTTCCTCTCTATCTCCTCCAATCCTCTCTCTTCTTTCTATTTCCTCAAATTATCTCTTACTTTCTTTTTTCCTCTCTCCTCTTTCTCCCTCTCCTACAACCCTCTTTTTGGATCTCTTTGTCCAGTTTAAGTCATAAGATTTAAAAATTTTAAATCACATACCAATCAAATTTTTTAGTCTTAAAGAATTTGTTTTTCAAAAAATGTTTTAAGAAATGATGAAAATTTTCGAATAGGATACCAAATAGCTCCTTAGAAATTTGGAACGATGAGGATTTTTGGGCGAATCCGCAAGCTTCCGGGCCTTGTTGAGGCCCTCCCGGTCGAATGAAGCAGGATTCTTTGACATGTGTGATCGCATTCCCTCGACCACTTCCTCCTCACCCCGTCTCCCTCCCTGCCTTCTCTGGCAAACCCTCCGACCCCCTCTTCAACTCCACGTACGTAAAACCCACACCAACGTCGTGCAGTCCATATTTTTTTTATCATCGTAAAAGATATAGAATAAAAACATGCATCAGCAGAGGGATGTGAAATTTCAAAATCAAACGAAGAAATACAAACATTGGTTGTTTGAATAATTTACAAGTCACTCTATTGTCCAAAATTGTTCAAATGGAAGCAAAAACCACGAAACTCCCTCCCTTTTCGTGCAGGAAAAGTTCACTACATTTCGAAAAACCAATGTAAGCTTCCCTTCCTTTAGCAAACCCTTTTGCAAAAGTTCTCTCAACTTTAAGGTACAGAAAATAACACAATGAATGAATGCAGGTTGAAAGAATTTAAGGCCAAAATTTTCAAAATCTATAATATGAATATGGGAAAAAGAACCCCTGGCGGAGGTAATTAGTCGAAGAAACATTTTCACCAAAATCTGGGGTTGGGGCGAACAAGATCATTAGATCCTGGGACTTCAATGAGACGATTAGAAGGGAAGGGAGGTCGCAAAAATGGGATGTGACTTGGTATTGGGGAAAGGCTGCTGTCCTGTGGCCATAAACGGTGGAGGAACACAGAGCTGAAAAGCTTGGTTTGGTGCAGTTCCTGCATTAAAACCGAGAAACGAATCCTTGATCATGACAGTTAAAGAATTCGCAAAACAAAATACTATAATTTTATTACTCAGTTTTCCTTTTTCTAAGAATTTAGATACTTGGTTTTCTTTTCATTACGTATGGAGCATAACCAATAATTTAGTCAAATAGTCATCACAATGATTCTTTACTTCACCAAATTTTTGTTTCCTTCCTTGTTCAATTAAGATTCATCGTAAACATAATAACTAGTTCATACCTTGGTGCTTGGGAAACTGGACCTGATGTGGAGTCAACACAGGACGAGCAGACAGTGGTGAGATTGCCGTTGCACCCTGCACCAAATCCTTCAATAAAAAAGGAAGGCAGATTAAACAATTGTAAATAAAAGATACAAAAACCATCATGAAAGTCATATTTTGTTGTCTTTCACTATCATTGTTATTTCATTTCAAAGAATGTTGGGACTCATGCCAGTAGAATGTATCAACAACCAACAGGTATGTCTTAGTCAAATACAAACTCAATGCCAGTCCTAAAAAGCATGGAGTTACCACTTCAAACTTGATTAACGAAAGAAATCATATCAAAAGACAGCTTTAATCATAGGAGTTTTCGTATGCCATAGTATCTTACTTGAGAAACTGGATGCACGTATACAAGCTGCCCGAATCGTCCAACCATAACCTGAGGGTTAGTGAATCAGAAAAAGGGAGTAAAAAAATGTAACTGCTCAAAAGAAGTTGACATACAGATGGTATAATATCCTTCAATTACTTACAGCTTGAGAATTGGGATGAACATAGGGAGGTGCAGCCTGACAGGATACTGACCAGCATACCTAAGCGTCTGTGCCCTGCTCCCCACGTGTCCAACAATCTATAATCAGAACAAACAACCTAAGATCAATCCTAACTAGTGCCACAACACCTCTGTCATATATTATGTATTCAATATTTCTATTTATTTTAACAAGACATGTACCGTGCTTTAAACCTTTGTTAGTTTAACAAAACACAAACATACATCTATGCATAGACTCATCAATCTCCTACTCACCAACAAGCATTAAATCCACGCTCACCAACCTTTGGATCAAACAACTGCTGATATTCAAAAAGATATTGTGTACTTTTCTTTTCAAAATAAATATCAACTTGATCAAACAATTGGTGAGTGGATTTTCGTTTCCACTAGTCAGTAAACTGGAGAACACACACACTTATATTGGTGGTGAGCTTCAAGTGAGTGAAGCTGAGCCTTTATATATGTATGCACATATGAACACACGGTAACTTTGCCAATTGCAACTACTTACAAGGAAAGCTTACATTAGTATCATATAATAACCATATGAATTCGATAATGACTACAATACATACAGGTTGTGAAAATTGAGAGCCACTGCCACCATTTCCATTTGTGAAATTATTAATGGGGACCACCTTAAAAGGTAGAGAGGTACGAGATGCAAAAGGATTTGATCCAACGCCTGGCTGAGCAGCAGCAACAGGTACCATGGGGGAGTTGTTTGGTAGATAACCCATGCTTCCCACTGTTGGCAATGGGGGAGGGGTTGATGTCGTGGCCTTCGTAAACGATGGTGAGAATGTTTTTGCTCCTGGGTTGAGCTTAAATTCCTAAGAAAAAATGCCAAATAATATTAATGTTATCAACTTGGTTATGTAAATAGCATACACATCATGAATTTCTAAAAACTTATTTATGTCACCCGATATATTAACTAGAGTAGTTGGACTTGGGATCGCCAGGCATTAAGGTTTCCATAGTATTAGGCCACAAAAACCATAATCTATGATAACACAACTACCAACAGAATTAACACAAGGTTCTTAGGGGTGGTTTGAGAGTGAGGTGCTTAAAAAAAAAGCACCCATGAAAAAAAGCTGTGAGGGTTTTAGGTGTGGTAAACTGAAAAAAAAGGGCTTATTTTGGAAGCTGCTGTGAGAATAAGCTGAAATCAAAGGAAAAAGCTGAAGCTGCTATTTGCAGCTTTGGAAAACTGACTTTTTTTCAAAGCACACGGAGCTACAGTGCTCCTTTAATGAAAAGACCCACTATCAGACTGCTTTTTTTTTTTTTCCAAAAGCACTTTTACAAAAAAGTTTACCAAACACTCTGCTGATTTATTTCACAGCCGCTTATTCTCATAGCAACTTTTTTTCAAAGCACAGCAATACCAAACCAGCCCTTGGTGGCCCAACGTGTGGTGCATAAATAGAAGCATAAACAGATGGTCAACCATTCTAAGTTAAGAATATGAAACAATTTTGTCCCAAAACATATATACTGAACCAATATGAAATCAATTGATAATTCAAGATGAATTGAACATGGTTCATCCAATGGTAGTTTTACCTTGGTGCTTCTAGTAAATTCTGAACCTTGAGGAGGGACCATTTCAGTTGAAGTTGCCACCAGATGGCCATATGAAACATCCACGGCCGGATTCAATGAAGTTGTGACACTTGAAGAAACAACACCAGATGAAATGTCTGCTGAAGTTGTCCTTTCACAACATTGATTTTCTGTATTAACAATTACAGTAGCAGGATCATGAGATACTCCGTGAGGCAATAACTTGGATGGGATCTTTGTATCATGAACTTTATCAGCCTGCATAAAAAATTTGCACTATTATCATATAACATGATTACAATGTGAGAACAATCTTGGCAGAGGTTATCTTTACATACACTTTCTTCCCTATAAAACTCATGTTTCTGTTTGAAATCATCCTGTTTCCCTGAGGACCCATCATCTTCAACCTGTCTGCCAAAAAATTGACCGGAGCCTGATGATTAAAAGAAAATAATAGCAGACAGTACGCAAAAGTAATTATTGTATGATAATATGATAGTGTTGAGCACAGATAGCAATTAATGTATGATAGTATGATAGTGTTGGACACAGAGAGCAACCATGCTGGCAACCATGTTTCTGTGTCACAGATATAGGAGATTATCCAAATTGGATATGAATAGCTAAACTCCATGCCATAACAGCTGGTAGAGTTTTATCAGCACGTGAGCACTCCTGATACCAGTGTCAAGGCAGAGAGCTTTAGCACCCAAAGTGTCACTCCCCAAGTATGAAATAATATTAACAGAAATAAGAATAGAACCCATACCTCCCATTAGGGGCTTCTTTAATCTGCATTGGAAAAAAAATAAAGTTGTAATAAAAACCTGAAAATGCTTTATACAACTTGCGTCCATAAAAAAACACATACTCGGCATCATGGACCTATATAAGATATTCTAATGCCATTTCAACTCATGTACTTAGAGATTCTTTTTAAATGTGATGCATTTAACTCATGTTAGAATAGAAAAATATTTGTTGGTCCATCCTAACAATTTAAGTGTTTGAAAATAGTGGTAAAGCAACCACACTGTTCATTATATAGAGTCGTTGGTATGATTTGGTTGGTCTAATCAGCACAATGCCCATTATTGTGGAATTTTAAGTCACCCTACACAGTGCACAGAGAGCAGGCACCACATGCAACTTAAGGTGAATTCGGGAGTAGCTCAAAGAGTACATGGATTATTTGGAAAACATTTTTTAGTAGCCTCCAACATTAAGAATATCTTTAAGTTGCAATGAGAAAGTGTGTGAAGTTAGGAACATTATACTTGCAAACGACATAGGCCCCCAACAGCAAAAGTGTTAAGAAGGCGTGATCAGGGTTCAAATCCCTGCAATCACAACCTTCCAATCTGTGTTGAGTTCTACCAGTGTGTTAAGAACTTAGGATTCTCTAGTGGTGAAGAAAAATTCAAATATGATAGGGAGAGCTATAATATTAAAATAAAAATTTGGTCAATTGCTCACCATTTTTAACTTTTTACATAGAAATTGATTATATCCACTAACTATTTATTATATCGACTGCTTCTTCAAATAAGTTTCTAAAAACAAAGAATCTGGTGCAGTGATAGCCATAAGGGGGTGCTAAAATTCTTATGAGGGAAGCAGAAAGTAAATCATTTAATTTTACGCCAACCAGTTTTTAAACTCTACAGTTTAGCTTTTCTTTTTATCCTCTTTGATGTTTACAAGATTTTGCCAGTTTTATTAAAGCTATAAATCACTAGGAGAAAAAGAAAAGGGCTTTTGCAGGAAGGCTCACTGAAATGGTGAATAAGCATTCTGCTTTCATTTTTATGACGTGTCAACTGCCACAGATCAATTGAATTCATTTTATGCAACGTTGTTGCATTTTTAGGTGTTCTTGATTTTATTTCATACCCAATTTCTATTTTAGTTTTTCCTTTCACAGTGCTTTTTCTGCATATAATTAGAGTGCTAAAGTTGGCCATGTTTTTGCTCCCTTCAATAGATTATAGGATTTTTCCTTATTTTCTATAAAATGAAAAACAAGCTCGTAAAAGATATGGAATAGTAATATATGACTTAAGAAATAAACTAAGCTTATAAAGTATATAGATAGAACTATGCATATAGAAAATAGTTACCTCTGACAAGTTTATCCCATCCATTTTTCCATTTTTAACTTCCAGGGCATTTACAGCATGTTTCAGTGGAAATTTCCTCCCTTCATGCTCCTTTACAGCTCTCTTTGGGGCAACACCATGAGCAAGGCCATTTCCATTTTGCATTGGGCCCCTGCTTACATAGGTAATTATGAATACATAACTTTACACAAAATTGAATTTACAATAATAACTGAGGTGCGTATTTATATAACGGTATCTGTTCCAGCAGGTTAAACAAGCAATAGCACAAGCTATCTGCCAGTACAATCAGTTGCTATGCTGAAAAACTCTTGATATTTTCAGTTGAAACGAACTAACAAAAAACTTCTTTGATCCCCAAAATTTAGAGTCACAACTTAGTGCAGATAATTGTACATACAAGTTCAACACTCAGAAAATACCTAAAACCATCCATTTTCTTCTTATTTGTGGAAGAATCAATTGACTTCTTTCCATCATTCTTTGAGCACACATCAGAAGAAACAGTATCCATAACAGCTTCAGTTTCGTCGCTAGCTATATTTCCAGTAATACCATCAGCTGGAAGCAAAACTCCCTGAACGATGTACAAAGAGCCACATTTAACTAAGACAGATTGCTTAAGTTGATTCTGAAACAAAAAAAAGAAAAGAAAAAAGAGGAATGAAATGAATTACATACCATAGCAACAACTTGGACAAGGTCACTGGAGCGAATCACAAGAGTCTCGATCAGTGCCCCATTTCCCACATTAGCATCACTCTTCCCCTTTTTGGTCATCCTTGCTTTCTTCAAAACAATACCTAAACAAGACAAAAACTGACTCAATAAATCTTGCTTAGAATCATGTGCCTTGAGTGCTTGTGTGTGAGAGAGAAGGATAATTGTAAGTTTATAACACACCAACCGTGTGTATTCAGAATTAAACTGCCGGATAATCTAATTAAAGAGCACGAACGCCACATACTCAGCGGTTAGACAAAAGGATCCAGTCTTTCCAAATCCAATATAACAACTAAATCTCACAGCCAAAATTCCAACTTTTCTATCCTCCTGCGCATTCTCAATAATTCACCCTTGCTCGATGAAAATCAGAAGCAATCATGAACAAAACCCGCTATAAACCCGAGAAACCCAATAAAACAACCCAGATCAAATACCATCTTATCCTTTCCATCCCAAACACAACAGGATCACAATAACCACACAAGAAAACGAAAACCCAGATACAGTTGAGCTTAATATTGAAAATTCCGAAACAGTTTTAAAAAATTCACCATTTTCAAAAACGCATTGAAAGGAAAACAAAAGCTCAATAGAACAGAAACGCACCGTACTCAGTCTCCACAGAGGCAGTGTAGAAGATTCCAGAATACACAGAACCGTCCTTGACGTGGACATCAACTGGGAGGCCAATGATGCACATGGTGGCAAAGAGCAAGGCCTCGCTTAGCGAAGAAGAAGAGGACGAAGAGACAGTCTCGTCGTCTGTGAAATCTCTGTTTCTGCAACCCATTTTTCTATTTTCTCTGTCTTTTTCCGATCCAACCGAGGAAGTTTTGGCCTTCTCCGTGTCTGGTTGCAGTCAGATTTTGGAGGTTCGATAACGAGGGGAAGGGGAAGAGATCTGATGAAGCTGCCGCCAGGGAATTCGAAATAGGAATATCGCTTTCTTTTGCGCTTGTGTCCCTGTTTTGTAATGATACCAAATATTTAAGAAATTCCCTTCTTTTTTGTTTCTTCTTTTTCATTTTTTATCCCTCACTATCTATATGCTCCCAAGTTTTATGTTTTTTTTTTTCCAAATGTTTTTTATTTTATTTTAATTCTTTTTTGTGTTTCTCTTAATATTAATTTAAACTATATATTAATAAAACTCTCTTTTTCAATTAAAAGATGATGACAATACATTTTTATCTTCTATCACAAAAAAAAAAAAAAAAATTATGAACAGTAACATAAAATTTATTTTTATTTTTTTTGTTGTAAATCATCACTTATAACTGATTTTATTATCTCTAATTAAAAATAAAAATAAAAAAAATAAAAAACAAACCTCTCCGCCTCTCTCCCCACTCTTAGGTTCTCTCTCTCTTTTCCTCTCTTCTTTAATTTAAAAAAGTACAGTAAACATTTTCACACAAACTTCATATGTAGGCATGTACTAGTATTATTTAAAAGCAATAATGCTTAGCAATATTTTGTTCAAAAAAAAAAAACTTTAGCAATACAACTTGAAAAAAAATATAGGGTTCTTCAACTCATTCTCAAGAGACATCAAAACAAAGAGCATAGACATCGCTTATAAGAGTAAACCTGCTTTAGTGATGAATTCCAACATAATCTTTGTAACGAAAAGCTGAGATGGTTTGGAAAGAATCACACCTAACCAAAATTAGATAAAAACCCATGATTCGGTTGCATTTTTTGTTTTTTTTGGTTGCTAAAATCATAACGACGAAGCTGGTGGTGGCAGCCAAGGTTGGTAGGGGTGGTAGTGGAAATGAGGATGTGTAGGGGTGAGAAGGTGGTACAAATGGTGGAGCCTAAGGTGGTGATGCTGGCGGGTAATGACGTCAATAGAGATGATGCTATGGTGGAGTTTGACCGAGCTTCCACATTAGTTTGAGAGAATTTGATACTTACATATAAAAATGATGTAGCATAAATTTGATACTTATAACACTATTGCTACACATGAGTTTATAATTGTGAGAGTAAAACTTTAGAACGCAACAATTTATAAGTATCACACTCAAATTTTGCGGTCTAATGTAAAGAGCGTGATTCTTATATGAGCTAAATATATTAATCACACTCACTTTTTCTGGCCTGTAGAAGGCTGCGATGGCGTTTATAGAGGTAGCAGCAGTAAGAGTGTGAAAGTATGGAAATAGTGAATGGAAATAACATAGCAAATAAGCCTGAACATAAACAAACACGAATATCCGCTGCTCAATATATAAAACTGCAAATAACAAACATAAAGTGCATCGTATCCCGAGTCTCACTCGGGGCAATCAAGGGTGGGAAGGAAGAACACAAAAGAGAAAAAGAAAATAAAGATTGAAAGTTGATATGCACTCCACAACATGATACAACAGCAGCTCGATGATACCCCCAGCTTTCAACATATGAGGCAGGCAGCTGCAAATCACTGCAACGGTGGAAGCATATTCGCAATCATGAACAAGCCTAATTCGATATCAAGTAACAAAACTGCATTTAAACGAGTGATGATAGTTACCTGCTGTTGCTGTTGATATGCACCGGGCTGCTGGTAGTTTCCATATCCAGCAGCATAGCCTCCATAATACAGGGCAGGGTCTTGGGCAGGAGGAGGTGCATATGAATATGCATCGTATCCTTGTGGATATCCATAAAATCCAGCACCACCAGCGCCATTCCACTGTGCTTGATCTGGCTGGTTCTGAACCAATCCAATCAACCAACATATATGGTTAATATGAAGTATGTAGAACAGTAAAATGTCAAAAAACAATAAGGTCGCAAATAAAAACCTGTTTGCTTGTAGGACTGCGGCCCCATGAAAGCCGAATACTTTGTCCTCCTAATTGTGTTCCATTCAACGATCCCAATGCTTGCTCCGCACAAGACCTGAAGCAGAGTACATGCACACGACAAACATGCATATGATAAGTATTTTGTAAGGAAAGAAAGAACAAGAGCACCAAGGAAACTTATATCAAGACTACCAGTGGTGCTGAGCTGTTACCTGTTAGCAAATTGAACAAAACCACAACGCTTGCCTACTGGTATCTTCACATGAACAAGCTCACCAAACTGGCTAAAAACTTGCCTCAACATGTCATCATTCACACTGGGATCCAGACCCCCAACAAATATCTGCACTCAAAAGTTTCAGGAGTTACTATCATGTAGCAAGAAATGTACAATGCCAACATTAGAACAAACTACGCACTGTTGTATTATTTGGATCAGCTTCGCCTGGATTTCCTTGAGTACTTGGATATGAAGCTGCAAATAACAAACACATAAGCACTAATTTATGCGAGCTAGTATTAGTAGCACAGATAAAGTTTTCCGCACATTCAAGAACTGATAGTTCAGTTTACACCATGCTATTATGGTTCTAAAACTCAAAATCTAAAATTGAATCAGTTTGTCAAGTTGACATATCAAATAGAACTGTGTGCAAACTTCCATGCAAATTTTCTATACATTAATAATACACTCATTTGTCTAAAGGTCTATGTCCTCCTACTTCAAACTGGCAATGTTTAATGAAGCATTCCATTTAGCTGTTATGGTTAGCATATTACATGATGCACCGACCAACTGACATTCACCTCCCAACACTACCAATTTGATTTTCTAAAAAAAAAGGATTTTTATTTTAACAATAAACAATGAACATCAAAATTATCAAGAGGTCAAAGCAGAAAGGCAATTGGAATATCAAACATAATAAATTACATAAGCAGATACTAAAAAAAATGAAAATCTAAACACGCAATTGAACAGATTTCTCAAAATCTATTCAAAGAGTTAGACAGATCAAGTAGACTCCATCCCATAGAAGTCTAAATGAAAGAGTACTTCATAAATCTATTCCTGATACAATATTGGAATCCCACTTTACCACAAATTACAAAGTGGCACTTCTACCTAAAACACAGCAAAGAGAGGCAGACGATAAGATGCAACCATATAAGCAGCTCACAAAAAATTAAAAGGGAGCTTCTATTGACACTCCAAAAAGTCATTATGGACTCCTCCCCAGTGAAAAGAAATAAGTAGTGCAGTGTCTTTTCTGGAGTGCTAATAACTATTCCCAAATTTAATGGTGTTTTCATTAAATATGTGCAATAGTGCATCGGCTTCAACTAATAGTTTAAGCATTTGATGCAGATTTATAATCTGACTTAAGATGAGGGCTGAAATTTGGGTACACATTCTATCCTATCAAACATAGAGAACATTGTGGAACCGATCCACAAAGAAAAAACACACTGGTTCTTCAACACAAGCGAAGTATTATAAGAAGGATATATAAACTTCGGAAACGGAGTAAATGTAAACCCGACTGCCAAATGGAATAAATGTAAACCTGACTGGCAAATGGAATAAATGTAAAACCGAATGGTAAATGGAATAAATGTAAAGCTGACTGGTAAATGGAATAAATGTAAAGCTGACTGGTAATGGAATAAATGTAAAGCTGACTGGAAAGGTAATTCTTGAGTAGCATTAAATGCCACGAGAAAAGAAGTAAGAAGCTTCTGACATAAACAAAATAACTGACCTAAAATGAGGCCACGCAATAATGTGGAATCATTTCATCTGAAATCAGTTCCAGGCCCTCCAAAATGAGAGCCTCTTGGTGTCCTGCTTTAAGACAACATGAGTTTTACATAAGTTTTTGCATGTTTTAACATAATTAAATGCGCCCAAGTTTTACAAAGGAAAGTACTCCAAGGAAATGACTAAGTCCCGCCAATCTTCAACTGAATAATCAAAACGACGGCAAATTTAGAACACTTGAGAGATCGTCACCTCGAAAATAGAAATTAAAAGCCCTAGTGCAATTTACCAAACCATAGTTAACATAAGGTGCAAGATATTCATAAAGTACAAGTACAGAACAAACATCTAAGAAAAGTATCAACTGCAATGAAGTAGCAAATTCAGCTGCAGAATTATTCGTATGGCTATTACAAACCATTATGCAATACTAACTAGAATACATACCTTTCTGATATTGCTGTCCACCACTGGCTGGTTTCTTAGTAGCCGCAGGCCCAATCCGCATGGGCCTAGTAGAACAAAATTGGCCGTTCATCTCAGTCATGGCTCGCAATTGCTCACCTTCATCAGCAAACCTAACAAAACCATATCCCTTAGATCGCCCTGTGGTCCTATCAGTTACAACCTTTGCACCCTTGACAGAGTGGTAATTTTGTCTAAATGTTTCTTGAAGCATGTAATCAGTCACATCAGCAGCCAAGTCCCCGACAAAAACTGTAAAATCTGGACCATCATCCTGCCGTCTCTCGCCAGCACCTAGGGTTGCCCAATTCAGTCTGAAATTCTGCTCCGTGTTAGGCATAAGAGCACCATTGTATGTCTGCAAGATCTGCTCAGCTGCAGCACGAGACCTAAACTCAATAAAACCATAACCTTCTGGCAGACCCGTTAACTTGTTGCGGATAACCTTTGCATTCACAGCCTACAAACAACTCAAAAAACAAAAACGAATACAACATAATGGGGTCAGCAAACAAAGCACATGTACCAAGAATTTAATAGCAAATATCAATTGGCATCTCAAACCCTAGAGCAACAATTGGTTGAAATCTTGACCAAAGCAACTATGGTTTAATATTTTTATCGCAGTGATTTACTAAAATAAAATTTTCAGAAAGTTTGGGTTTTTTATTTTACATATCACATCTAGAACCAAACCCTAAATTTCAAATTTGAAGTAGAACAACTTCAATAAAAAACCAATCGACGTAAATTAATCTAAAGGAAATTCACAGAAATTCAAACCCTAGATGTACCTACACACAGACACACACAAATAAATCCAAATAATCCTACGCGTGCGCGAGTATATTACCTCACCGGTGGGACCAAAGCAGCTGAGGATATAAGCCTCGTCCATCCACTGCAGCAAGTCACCGATCCAGAGGGAGCGGATCTCATCGGGGCCGGGATTCTGTGTGGTAGCGTACTGCTGAGGCGCCTGCT